GGGATCCAGCCTGGAGCTCCCACAGCCCCTGGGGATCCAGGGATCCACCCTGGGGCTCCCACAGCCCTGGGGATCCAGCCTTGGCTCCAGACTGAGGCTGTTGTGAATTCCAGGCGGGTTCCCAAGGGATCTGTGGCAGCCCTGGGGCTCCTGCCGTGTTCCAGGGGGATCCCCTGCCCTGCCCAGAGGTGACCTGTTGTCCTGTGTGTCCTGCTGCAGGTGGGGGCTGACGGGCTGCTGAAGCTCAGCGGCTCCGCGCTCAACAACGAGTTCTTCACCTCGGCCGCCCAGGGCTGGAAGGAGCGGCTGGCAGAAGGTAAATCCTCCCCACCCCGAGCCCAGCAGGGTCTGGGGAATGCCTGGAGGCTGTTTCCTGGAGCACTGCAGGCTGCCCAGCCTTTGGAAGCAAAGGCAAGCCCGGAATTCCGGGACCTCAAGGTCAGAGACGCTGCAGAAGGAGTTCTCTGTTCAGCTTCAAATGTGGAATAGAGCAAATCTCTGGAAAAGATGAGGAAAGAAGGAAAAGTGTGTTTAAAACCCCTCTGAAATGACAGTGGAGCTGTGGCATTCCAGAGTCGTGGTACCTAAACAGAGACACTGCTGAGCTCAGGAGGGAAGGGGGGTTCTGTTCCCAGAGCTGGGCAGTGTCCTCAGCCAGGGTCAGTGTGGTGTCCTTGGAGATGTCAGTTTGGATATTTAGATGGGATATTAGGGAGAAATTCTTCCCTCTGAGAGTGGGGAGGCCCTGGCACAGGTTGCCCAGAGAAGCTGTGGCTGCCCCTCTATTCCCCCTCCTGTCAGGGGGTTGCAGAGCCAGAAGGTCCCTCCTGATTCCTCTTTTCTCCAGGCTGAGCCCCCCCAGCTCCCTCAGCCCCTCCTGCTGCTCCAGCCCCTTCCCAGCTCCCTTCCCTTCCCTGGACTGCCCCAATTCCCCCCTGGCAGGAACTGTGCTCCCAGGGGACACTCAGCTTCCCTTTGGGCAGATCTCAGTCGCTGCACAGAGAACAAACTCAGCGAGAATCTCTCACAATCCTGTTATTTGAGCGAATTGCCGAGAGTCCAACTGTGCAGTGATGGAAACATTCCATGACTGTGGATCCCTTTGGGGGATCCCCTCTCTGGTAACTGCAGTGACTCCTGTGCCTTCCCTCCCCTGCTGAAGAGCACACAGGGGGTGGTGTGGGAAGGAGACAAACCTTCAGGTCACCGTGGTGTCAGTGATGCCCTCGCAGGACCAGCACATCTCACACACCTCCACGGTCCTGAGCTGCTGTTGGGTTTGCTCTGAGGGCACAGGGGAACAGTTCTGGGCAGCCACAAACTGTGAGGGCTCTGGGCTGTGCCCGGTTCACCCACCTGGCTCTGACAACACTCCTCTGGCACCCGCAGGCGAGTTCACCCCCGAGATGCAGCTCCGGATCCGGCAGGAAATCGAAAAGGAGAAGAAGGTGGAGCTGTGGAAGGAGCACTTCTTCGAGAGCTACTACGGCCAGAGGTGAGAGCTCAGCCTGTGCCCGGGCCCTGCTGGGTGTCTGTCCATCCACAGGCACTGCTTTCCATTAGTCCTGGAACCTGAAGAGGGTCTCTGGCTTCACCTGCCTGCCAGGGAGCTGGGAAGGGCCAGAGGGATCCATCCAGAGGTGTTTGCTGCCCCAGTGCCTTGTGCTTTGCCCAGCCCTGTTCTCCTCAGGCAGGATGTCCTTGGGCTTCACCTTTTCCCACTCCTTTGAGCCACTCCTGTAGTTCTCCTGGTGCTGAGGCTCTGGAGGTCCTTGGAGTGTGGTGGCTGAGCGTGTCTCACCTCTGGTGTGCTGCCCACCTCTTCAATCCCACAGCTCCTGGTTAAACTCCCAATCCTGCCCGTCTTTTATCCTGTGTTTCCTCTTGGTTTAAGATTTTTCCACCCTCTGGGGCTGTGGAGGGGTTTCCAGGTTTCTGTGTGAGTTACTGAGAAACCTGGGAAGGAGCAGACACGTATAAATAACTGATAAGGGATTTCTTATCCTGCATTTCTGCTCGTTATCCGGATTTTCTGCTTGTCCTGTGCCTGCAAGTCCGTTTCCTTCCCATTAATCCAGGGTGTTTTAACCCTCCAGAGCATCTGGATTGTTTCTGTCATCCCATGGTCTGATGGGGATGCTGTGGGTGAGCCAGGGCTGGGCTGTGTGTAGGTACAAGCTGTGGTACCAACTACAGGAATACCCCAGGCTGGGGGTCCAGGTGACCTGGTGCCTTGGAAAGAGCTTTCCTCAGCCACCTGACCCAGGGCTCTGGGTGCTGAAAGGTGACAGCAGCCACAGTCTTGGAGTTTTAGGGGGACAGGGGACAGCAGGACAACATGGAGGGGACATGTGGAGTAGCAGGACCTCAGTTCCCTCCAGCTCCTGAGAGCTTCTCTGGTAGGAACCATTCCCAGGGTCTCATTGGGCCGGGCTTCCTCAGGCTCCATGGGGTTGTGTTTGGGGAAAAAACACAGAATTTAATGGTTCTTTGAGAGGGGTGGATGAAGTTAATCACCCTGGGAATTAGATTCCACGTTCCTCTGGAAAAAATGCCCCTTTTCCGTGTCCCTTCCTGCCAGAGTCACCGTGTGGGCCCAGGGCAGCCCCGGGCCGGGGGCTTGTTCCCACCCTGCACAGGAGTCTGTGGGGGCTGACACAGGGAATATTTACTGTGGGCCAAACCCTTTGGATTTGCAGCCTGGAAAATCAGTGTCTGGACAGGGACCTGGAGCTTCCTGGTGTCCCATTCAGGTGGTTTTAAACTTCGATACCGATTTCTGTTTTTCGTGTCAGAAGTAACAGCGTAGAAGGTTCTCAGAGCTGTGTCTCAGAGACATTTATTCGGGGTGTGGGGTGCAGAGGATGCTGCCCCTGTTTCCCCAAGGATCGTGTGTGGTTTTTGCACAGATGTTTTACCGACTGTGCCTCTGTTTCTGTGCCAGTTCTGGGCTGAGCCCCGAGGAGTCGGAGCGGCTGACGGCGCATCCCGAGGCAGAGCCCGCCCAGCCCCGGAGCAGCCCGGCAGCTCCACGCCGGGAGCACGGCCCCTCTGCCCCCGAGGCCAAGGCACAGCCAGCCCAGGAAGCACCAGCAGCGAAAAAAGGAGCAGAGGAAGGAAGAGAGGAGGCACCAAAGCCGGCCAAGCCCCCCGAGGCCTCGGCGAAGCCCGGCGACCGTTCTGTCCCCGTCAGAGAGAGAGTCCAAGGAGAATCCGTGCAGGAGAGACCCCAAAGTGCCGCCAGGCAGAAGCCAGAGGAAGAGAGGAAGCTCAGTGCAGCCAAGGAGGTGCCAGGGAACGAGGCTGTGGGTGCCCCCAGCAAACCAAAGAGCCCCGGGGCAGGGGAGGCAGCAGCCAAGGGGCAGAGCCCGGCGGGGGCTCCGGCCCCGCCTGAGGAGAAGCCCCCCGTGAGTGAGGACATGGAGGTCAGCGTGGAGCCCCACAAGAGGAAGGCAGAGAGCCCCGAGGAAGCTCCAGCCACCCCTGAGAAGAAGCCCCGGGTGGTGGAGCCCTGCAGGCACCACCAGGCCTTTCGGGGCCAGCCCCAGCCCTTTCCTGGCGCCGGGACCCCCGTGCCACGAGTGCCCCCCCTCAAGGTAATCTTGGGATCCCAGAGGGGTTTGGGTGGGAAGGGACCTTAAAAAACTCATCTCATTCCAGCCCTTGCCGTGGGCAGGGGCAGCTTCCACTGTCCCGGGTGCCAGGGTGGAAACCAGGGGAGCTGCAGAGGGGCTGCAAGGCTGTGAGGGCAGAGCAGGGGTGCAGAGAGCCTTGGGGGTGTGGGAGGTCCAGCTCCAGAAGGAATTCCAGCTCCAGAAGGAATTCCAGCTCCAGAAGGAATGCCATCCATGGCTTCCTGAGAGCCAGTCCAGACACTCAGTGACTCCTGTGTCTGGAACAGGCACCAGCTGAGGAGCAGGGAAAGAGCATCTGGGGGAACAGCTCAGTTCCAGAGGCCCTTGGGCTGCCCAGTCTTCCCAAGAACCCACCTGGGAGAGGAAATGGGCAGTTGGTCACTGCTGGGACGGGCAGGACAGAAACATTCCAGGCTTTGCCCCTCGGGTTTGGGAGCCAGGTCATAGGACCAGGCACCTGCTGCTGGACCTGCTGGTTTGGGGCCTTGGGCAGAAGCTGTAAATGGGAAACTGCTTAATTCCTGCATTTCTGTGTGTCCCAGGAATTCTACTCCCCTATATCAGTATCCTTGATGTGCTGGGAGGCTGCAAACTCAGAACTTTAAAAGCAGATCATTATTCTCCCCATGTCCCTCAGTACAGCACCGAGGCAGGAAAGCAGCAATGGAATTGTCAGTGACACAGGATTGGGGTCCATAGAGACCTGGAATAGCATCCAGGAGGGCTGGATGGGCTGCCAGGGAAATAAAGGGGTTGGATTTAACAGGGTGAGTTGAAGGGGACTGCAAGAGGTGACTGCAAAAGCAGGAGAACGTGGGGACAGATCTGTCATTCCCAAAAGAGAGAGAGAAGTGGTGAAGTGGCTGCTCAGAGCTCAGTGGGACTCAGGGAGGTTTTGTGGATACGGAAAACAAATGTAACCTCAAATAAACCCCCTGAGGTCCCTGCAGGGGGGACAGGGGAGCACCCAGGGCACTGCAGGGCTCAGCTGGAAAGAGCAAACCTAGAGAAAGTCAACTGGGACACTGAGGGAATGTTTGGGAAGAAAGGACTGAAATATTGGCATTTAATCTCCAGGTGGAGGGATTATTATGGTTTGTACAAAGACACCGAGGGGACGAGCGGTGTGTGTGCAGGGGGAAGAGCAGGATGGTGACACCAACCTTCCAAAGGGCAGAAATTCCATGGGAATGAAGTGTGGAACAGAGGAAGGGCCGACAGGTGTGGAACAGCCCCGCAGGGAGGAGCTGGGTGGGCCCTGGGTGATGGTGTCTGATGGTTCTGGCTGTGACTGTGAGGGACGAGCTCCACCCTGAGCCACTGGGACTGTACTGCACTTACACTGGGGGTGAGATCCCAGGGTCCTACACCTCTCCTGGTACTTATTTGGAGAGGAGGGATTTCTCCAAAGGGGTTTCCCCAAAACTACAACTAGTTCTCTAAGGCTAAACCGCCAGCCCTGAAACCCTCAGCCCACGGGTGGGACCCTCCCCGTGTCTCAGCCGCGCTTTTTGCTCTGCTCTGTTGCAGATCCCCGTCTCCAGGATCTCCCCGATGCCATTTCCTGCGGGCCAGGTCTCTCCCAGGGCACGTTTCCCCCTCTCCCTCGCCAGTCCGGGCAGGACAGGGGCCAGGACCTTGGCCGACATCAAGGCGAGAGCCCAGCAGGCCAAGGCTCAGAGGGCAGCGGCCGCCGCCGCCGCCGCCAGCGCCGCCGCCGCCGCCTCGGCCGGGGGGGCCGTGCCGGGGCCCGGCCCGGGCGGGGGGAACACCCAAACTGGAACGGCGGGAAACCCACTGGAACTGGCAGGAACTGGAGGCGGGGGAGGTTCGAGAAGGTTTCTTCCCCGTTCCCAGCTGGAGAGCCCGGCGGCGGAGCAGGGAGCTCCTGGCCATCCTCCTGGAGCACAACTACAGCCAAGGGCCCCCGGGCCCGGCTCCTCCTTCTCTGCAGCCCCGGCAGTGACGGTGACCCCGGGGACGGGATCCCCTTGCGCTGGGAGTGGGGACAGAGCAGGGATGGCCCCCTGTGCCCGCGGGGCTCCGGCGCTCGGGGACGGGCCCGGCTGCGGCACCAGCACGGGAGCACCCACGGCCTCGGGAGGGACCAGCTCTGAGGATTCCAAAAGCAAACCCCCTTCCCCTCTGGTGTCCTCACTTCCACCCACAGGCCCCGAGGCCCAGGCTGGAGCCGTGGGCGCCGCTGCCCCCGTCCCGCCCTGCGGCGCTTCCTCGGCAGCCCCCGGCCTTAAAACCCCCCCCAGAGCCAGCTCCAGTATTCCTGCCAACAACCCTTTGGTCACCCAGCTGCTTCAAGGCAAGAGCGTCCCCCTGGAGCAGATCCTGCCGAAGCCGCTCACCAAGGCAGAGGTGAGAGCGGTGCCCGTGGCCCCTCGGGAAGAGAAAGGGGCGGTGGCTCCTCCCGCCGCTCCCGGGAACGGTGCCGGGGCCGAGGCGGGCGACAGACCATCGGGTTTGCCCTCACAGCAGCTGGGGAAGGTCTTCTGCCAGAACAGGCCTCTGCCTCACATTCCAAGGACCTTCCCGCTGCCCTCGGGAAAGGAGCCCGGCCCTGAGCAGCAGCAGAGCCACGAGGCGCTGAGCAAGGCGACCCAGGAGCAGATCCTCCAGACCCTCATCAAGAGGGTGCAGAGGCAGAACTCGTTGCCCGTCCTTCAGCCCTCGCAGCTGAACCCCCCACACTCAGGTTTCCCGGCGGAAAGCAGCTCCACCAGCCAGAGGTTCATGCTGGGCTTCACGGGCAGGAGGACGTCCAGGCCTGCCATGTCCGGTCATTACCTGCTCAACGTCTCCACCTACGGCCGCGGCTCGGAGAGTTTGAGGAGAGGCTTCTCCTTGAACCCCGAGCTCCGCCTGGGGCTGAGCAGTCCCGCCGAGGGTCCCAGGGCAGAGTTTGGGGAGTGCGAGGAGGGGCCCGGCCGGGGCAGCAGCAGCAGCAGCGAGGAGGACGCGGACGACGAGAGCACCGGCGACGAACGGGAGCACTTGGGCGTCAAGGAGGAGTCTGGTCAGCGTGAGAGAGAGCGGGGGTCTCACAGCACCAGCCCCGCGGATCCCGGCTCCCTGAGGGTGAGGGCTGGGAAGGCCGAGGCCGGCGCTGGCACCAAGGAGAACCCTCCGGCGCTGGACGGCACCGCGCTGGCCCGAGACCTGCTGCAGGCGGCGCAGGAGCAGATGGCCCACGCCATGAGGGG